ATATACCACAGCTTCTCTACCCATTCATTTGTTGATGGGCATTTAGGTTGTTTCCAACTCCTTGCTATTGTAAACAAAGCCGCGATAAACATGGGTATGCATATATCTGCTTGGATGTCATTTATGGTCTCTTTAGGATATATTCCCAGTAGTGGAATTGCTGGGTCAAATGGTATCTCTATTTGCAACTGCATCTTGTATCTTACAAGAGATAAAAAGGTGAATGAAGTGAACGGAGAGAAGGGGCTTGCTTACCATCAAGAAAGAAAAGTCAGAAGTGAAGTGTATCCTTTGGACCTGTGCTGAGGACTTGCTAGACACACAGGAAAATAATAGATGCCCAATCACAAGTAGATCTCTAAGGAATACTGGGGCTGCTGATATTGGAAGGAGGTCAGGGCCTTCCTCCAGAAATTACACAGAGAAAGACCTTTTCTCTACCTCTGTTACCTTGAATTAGAACTTTCAGCCTCCCCAAAGAGCTCTGGTGGCCTAGTGGTAAGAAACTGTGCTGCAATCCCAAAGGCATGTGGTTCAAATCCACAAGCTGCTCCTCAGGAAAAAGATGGACAATTTCCTCCTGTATGACTCACTACCTCTGAAAGTGTGCAGGAGGGTTAGCTATGGGTGTGTTCCAACTCGACTGTACACTACAACAGCCTCCCCAGATGGAAAAGGGTAAATTTGTTAAGGACATCCATTTATCTCGTTTTATTTAGCAGCATAGATACTTGAGACAGAGGGTCTCTGAAGGACTTGGGGAGTTCCTCTCTTCATGTATCACATCAGAGGGGCTTCGCTAGACTATTTCATCCTTCTAAGATGCAATCTGAAGACCATCTTGACCGAATGCCTTCTGCCAGGTGAGTGGGTCAGGGGCTATGTAAGGATGTGTGCACATTAATAAACCTGGAAGGTTCTTATGGGGTACTCAGGATGCTCCATGCTCCAGACAGCCTTGCAGGTGGGGAAGTCAAGAGTAGATGATAGGACGCAGTTTGTCTAAGATGACCATGGTCAGCACATGGATCTCTCTCTCCAGTGTTGTTGTTGTTGTTGTTATGTGCCGTTGAGTCGCTTGTGACTCATAGCAACCCTATGTACAACAGCCCTAAAACTTGCTCTATCCTGTGCCAATCTCAATGCCTCTGGCACACCCATCCCTATTACCCCAGTCACTGAATCAATCAACCTCATAGAGGGTCTTCCCCTTCTGTGCCGTCCCTCCACCCTCCCAAGCATGATGTCCCTCTCCAAGGACCTCTCCCTCCTTATAACATATCCAAAGTATGTCAGATGAAGCTTCGGAATCCTTACCTCCAAGGAGCAGCCTGGTTTAACCCTTCTCAAGATTGACTCTGTTTGTTTTCTTGGCAGTCCAGGGTACATTCAATACTCTTCTCCAGCACCACAGCTCAAAGGCATCAATTCTCCTTCTATCCTCCTCAGTCACTGTCCAACTCTCTGATGCAAAACAAGTGATTGCAAAGACCATAGCCTGTATCAGACGCACCTTAGTCTCCAGAGTGACACATTGCTCTTCAGTACCCTGGAGAGGTCCATATCAGCAGAACTTCCCATCGCAATACTTTTTTTTAATTTCCTGGCTACTGGTGCCAAGAGTGTTCACCGTGGAGCCAAGCAGACTAAAGTTGTTAACAATCTCAATCTCTTCACCATCTATCCTGATGCTGTCAATTGGTCCAGAGGTGAGAATCTTTGTCTTCTTGACATTGAGCTTCAATCCATACTGAAGGCTGCAGTCCTTGACCCTCTGCAGCAAGCATTTCAGGTCCTCAGTTTCAGCAAGCAGGGTTGTGTCATCTGCATAACGCAGATTGTTAATAGATCTTCCACAAATCCTGACGCCACACTTCTCCTCATAGAACCCAGCCTCTCGGATAATCTGTTCTGCATACAGGTTTAAAAGGTATGGAGATAGGACACATCTCTGGCGTAGACCCTTCCCAGTTTTGAACCATGCAGTGTTCCCTTGCTGTGTTCTGACGACTGCCTCTTGGTCTAAGTACAGGTTTTGCATTAGAACGATCAAGTGTTCTGGGATTTCCATTCTTCTCAGAGTCAGCCACAGTTTATTATGATCCACACAGTCAAACACCTTTGCATAATCAATGAAACACAGATAGACATTCCTCTGAAATTCCCTGCTTTCAGCTAAGATCCATCTAACGTCAGCTACAATATTCCTAGTACCACAACCCCTTCTAAACCCAGCCTGGACTTCTGGTAGTTCTCTGCTGATGTGCTGTTCCAGTCCTTTTTGGATAATCTTCAGTAGAATCTTGCTTGCATGTGAAATCAATGATATTGTTCTATAGTTTCCACGCCCTGTTGGGTCACCCTTCTTTGGAATGGGAACAAATATAGATCTCTTCCAGTTAGTTGGTCAAGTGATTGTTCTTCAAATTTCTTGGCACAGCTTGGTGAGCACATCCAGGGCAGCATCTGTTAGCTGAAATATGTCAACTGGTATACCAGCTATTCCTGGGGCCTTATTTTTTGCTATTTCCTTCAAAGCAGCTTGAACTTCTTCCTTCATCACCATAGTACCACTAAACTTAAGAGACACTGTTCACAGCATAAGAAATTGTCAAGAGCTCACGTATTTGGAATCTCAGAAGCCAAGAAAACTTCAGATACAAGCTGTCAGATTAAGAGTTGGACAATGGAAGACAAATGTTGAAGAGTTTTGGTAGAAGTGAAGGGGTATCCTGGTGGAGGGTGGAGCTGGGAAATAAGTGGGTCAACACACTGGGCCAAGGGCAGGGACGACACTCGCTGTCGTTAACTCCACAATGAGGGATTTATCATTCACTGTTCTGTAAATTGCTTGTCTGTCAGATACTCCTAAATCTGAACATTCAGATTAAGACAGACTAGGAAGGATTGGCCATCCACTTCTGTAATAACAGGCCTCTGAAAACCTTATGTACAACAGAACACATGTATATAACAGAAAGGGCAACTGAGCCCGAAAACCTTATGTACAACAAACCACATGTAGACAACAGAAAGGCCAACTGAGCCTGAGCTTTCAGGTGTAGAAATACAAAGGAAGAGGAACAGTTGTAAGCAGACTCTCCAGTGTACCTGCTCTTAACCTCCAGCAGGATGCTAGGGCAAGCTTCCGCTGACCTCAGGAGAATGTCGTAGGTAGAGTGAGTGCAAAGTGTGGGTAGACACTGGGGGAAACACATGACTATGACCACTAGTGACCCTCACAGCCCAGGAACAAAATTCACCCCATAGCTCAACTTTCAGTCAAACCATAGCCAAGTCTGCAAGGTGACCAGGAAGACCAGGGACAGATGCCCTTCAAAGCAATCACCCTGCCAAAGTCCAAGGGGGACATTTATGCAGGGATAATTGATGAAAGGCAGGGGCATGATAGCATGATGAATGGATATGAACATCACAGGGAAGTGGGCTTACACTATGGGGACGATAATGCCATAAAACACTATGTGTGTGGTGTGAAGTACAGTACATATGAACTTTGCAAGGAAAACAATATAAAATAACAAACTCCAGTGCAACCACTGTGGAAGGTGGTATGGCGCTTTCTCAAAAAGTTGCAAATAGAGATACCATTTGACCCAGCAATTCCACTACTGGGAATATATCCCAAAGAGACCATAACTGACATCCAAGCAGATATATGCACACCCATGTTTATCGCAGCTCTGTTCACAATAGCAAGGAGTTGGAAACAACCCAGGTGCCCATTGACAAATGAATGGGTAGGCAAGCTGTGGTATATTCATACAATGGAATACTACGCTGCATTGAAAAACAAGGAAATCATTCAATATTATTCAAAATGGGTGAGCCTGGAGGACATTATGCTGAGTGAAATATCTCAGTCGCAAAAGGACAAATATTGCATGGTGCCACTGCTGTAAAATGGGACTGATATCAGGGAGGGGGTAAGACTGAGAAAAACTGCATAAATTGTGTATACTGCACTGAAACAGATGAGGGACTGAATAATTTAAAAGCGATGTATGATAGGGTATTATGGTTATCACAAGAGTCCACAATTAAGGTTGCATAGTGGAATGTATTTGGGACGGTGGGAGGGGTACG